TGCCTGATCTTGCTCTTCTTTTAAAAATTTAAATCCCCAATTCCACAATTGTTTAATATTCCTATTCTCCCTCTATATTCCATTATAGATATTACTCTCAAAGCAGATTCATTTCTACTAAAAATTAATCCCCACATTAGTAATTTCAGATTTAAAAGCCAGACGAGGCTACAAAGATACCAGCAGAAACTATTCCAGAACATATAAAAGGGGAATTTTCCTCAACATCCACCTGGTAACATTTTCCTTCATCATTCTTCATCAGCCCCAAATAGGTCAGCTCTGTTCCCCATTAACTGCCCCTCCTAGCAAAACAGTTGTCTCTGATTAGTGAATAATAAGTTGGAAGAGAAAAAGTAGAACTCATTCCATTGTTCAGCAGTTCTTGAACTTCAGTAGTCATCAAAATCATCTGGGGTATTAGTTTAAAAAATGCTGATTCCTAGGCCCTTCCCCCAATCCTAGAGAATTGGATTTCTCAGGTCTGACATTTAAGAATGTTAGGATTTTGTATTTTTAACAAGCATCCCAAGAGTTTCTCATGCCACTAGTTATGGTGCTTCAATCCTGCTTTCTTCTCCAGACAAGTATACTTCATTTGCATTTTAATGATAAAGAGGATATGGGGTTGGCCAAGGATGCACAGCTGGGAAGCAGCAGAAACAGGATTATGCATCCAGAATTACTTATATATGCCAATCTACCCTGCTCAGAACTGGAAAAAATGAGATGGCTAGCTCCCCTACCCCCTTGTTTTACTCTAATAAAGTTGTTTTTCAAATCAAACTGCGGAGGTCGGCACATGTTTGCTTAGCATAGTGGTTAAGGGCACTGATTCTGACATCAGACTATCTGTGTTCATATGTCATTTATTGTGGATATTGGGCAAGTTAAGTTACTTAACCTCTTTAAACCTCAATTTCCTAACCAGCAAAATGCAGATACAATGCCTCTTTCATAATACCTCTTTTATAGTTCTATGATGAGAATTACATTAATACAAGTAAAGCACCTAGCATAGTGCCTGCCATTTAGTATTAGCTATTATTAATCATCTTTATTAATGTCACAAAGCTTTAGTCTCCTGAGAATTTTTAAGCATGCACTCAAGTTCTGGCTGCCTTACCCATATGTCTCTTCTTAGGCTAATTCTTCCTAAAAAATTACTTTAATGTCATAAACTGAGACCTTAAATTATTTATTTCTTCCAAGGTGAGTATTAATCAGCTTATCGTAAGTGGGTATGAGTCAGGAACCTGTGAGATAAGAAACACCATAAATATTTAATCACATTAACCCAGGTATCATTCTGGCAATTTGTACCTAAATAATTACAATAAAAGAGATAAACTATCTTAATTGTGCTTTAAAAAGTTCAAAGTGGCACCAAAATGGCAAATACAATATAGAAAGTTAGTTAAAAATTATATTTAATAAGAATTTTCAAAACAACATATTCACACTTAGTTATGACTATCCTACAGGTCTTCAGATTCTTAGATCTGGAAAAACATAATCCTAGTTTAATTTGTGAAATAATATAGTCCCTAAAGGGACATGTGGAATTTACCATCAGTACCCTCATTTTTAAACACAGGCGCTCTAAGACCTCACTCTCTTCTCCCACAAATAGATGAATAAAAATAATCATGCATTTTCCCTTACAAGATAGAGTCCATGCCCTTACACAAATGAAAACGTAAATAAGTTTATTTTTTAGGAATACTGAAAGGCAGTGTAGCATAGAGAAGAAGAACAAATGCTCTAGTGTCAAATCTTAGCTCTGTCACTTTTTACTGTGTGATTTGGGGCAAGTTACTTAACCTCTCTTGATTTCAGTTTCCTAAACTACATTCTTCCACTGGTGTTAGATTAAATTAGTTAATCTATCTAAAATACCTGGCATATAGTAAGCTTTCAATAAATGTTAGCTATTATCAGTATAAAATGGCAAACCACAGAGCTTGAAACGACCATGATATAACTTCTCAGTCCATCAGCCACTGGAATAAAGAGATAGTTAACGACTTCCACCCTCACTATTGTAAATAAAACTGTATTAGGCTGGGAGGAGGGATGCTAACTTTCTCAAACCACTTCCAAGGTGTTTCTGTCGTTGTTGGCTGCTTTTGAGTTGATTCCAACTCACAGAGAGCAGAACTGCCCCACAGGGTTTTCTAGGCTGTAATCTTTAACAGAAACAAATCACCAGGTCTTTCTCCTGTAGAGCTGCTGTTGTAGTTTCAAACCGATAACCCTTTGGTTAGCAGCCGAGCACTTACCCATTGCACCACCAGAGCTCCTTAAGGTGTTTCTACTCTCTCTTAATTGTTAAATTATACCAGAACAGTCTTATTAGAATTTATATTCTCTGTTAAAGTATGTCCCCAATTACATCGCTGAGAAGAAATTTATCATTAAGACACAACATTATGTTCTTATTCTTCAACACTTTGTAATGTTAGAAAAGAAATAGCATCTATATGGTTTCAAAACACTTGGCTATTTTATGTGAAGGTGGATATAATTTTTTTAATGTCATCTTTACTATCCAAAACTTTTTCCATATTAATGCCTGCTTCCATGATATTCACAAAAATGTTTCCATAACTGCCTCTTTTAAAAGTTCCAAGTGTGTAACCCAAAAGTATCAATAACTTATGCTGAAATATACTTCCCTGAAGTAGCTATATAAAAAAAACAAAAAACAAAACCCATTTGATTCCAACTCACAGCGACCCTACAAGACAGAGTAGAACTGCCCCATAGGGTTTCCAAGGAGCGTCTGGTGGATCAGAACTGCCGACCTCCCGGTTAGCAGCTGAGCTCTTAACCACTATGCCACCAGTGCTACAACGTAGGTATGTAAGAAAAAGAAAAGAAAATTCTGGCTTTCTAATTTGAAATTAGAAGACATTTATAATTGTTGGTGCTAGTCCATCTTCAACATATATTGTCAAAAATATCTTAATATTACTATGATTCACAATAAGAAATACCATTGGAAAGATTTCAATATAAACTTTTACATATATAAGATTTTGCATGTATATATGCAGATATGTAAATAAATTAAATTATATATGTGTACATATATTAAAAAATAATGATACTCAAATTTCTCTCTAGAAATATAAAGTGGTTAATATAATGAGACCTAATTTTAACTGCAGAAACCTTTGAACTTTTAGGAGACTTCCAGGATGAATGAAACAATGTTATGAAATATCAAACTACATCCTACTCACTGCGTCTGTGACTTCTGTAAAACAATAACATGGCCAAAGATGAAACAGGATGAAGCCAAAGAATTTGAAGTACAGCAAGGGCAACGTTCCATCATATTTCCAGGGCAAGTTGGGGCAGAAGCCCTCAAGGATCACCTCTAAGAGTTCAATCTTATCTTGATAATCCCAGACTTCCCTGTTGGCTTTTACTAAAGTTATTGGGCTACAGCTGAATTTCTCTAATCTGAATGGCAGTTTGCAACCTGTGTTTTGTAACATCCTTGCTTTCTCTGATGACCTCATGACCTCCTATAAAATTCTTGAAACAAAGTCCACTTTAATTCACTACAATTTAAATATTACATATGCATAAAGCACTGGGGGGGAGGGGGGTCATGGAAAAAAAAAAGAGAACAAGGACTTTCCAAAGATGGAAAATAATTCCAAGAAAACTTTGTAAAAAAGAGAGTAGAAACTACTTCCCAAACTGCCAAAAATGTGCGTAATATATAAAACAGAACAATTCAGATGATTCAATTCAACAAACACTAAGCACCTACTACATCCAGGGAACTGAGGCGCCATCCACTGGGCTACACTCAAAAGAGGGCCCCTTGCGAAGACATCATCGGCCCAGGGGTTTCTTGGGTCCCTACACTCAGGGAGTCCTGGAGGGCGCGCCCCTGTTCAAACGCTGTTTTAGGGCAGCCTTGATGGTCGCAGTGACACCCTCAGGCCAGGTAAACTCGTCTGGGCACTCCCCTCGGTGCTGAGACCAGTACTCCAAGCAAGGCCACTTCTAGGACTGACGCGTAGTTAGGGGTCTGCGGTGATCACTGATTGGTTAGGTTTATTTTTTAAACTTTGGTTCCTACTTAAACTTGGTGCGCTGATTGAATTTTAATTCACGCGACCACATTTTTCTTTTTCCTCAGCGCTATGGAATCCTTCCAAACCCTGCCTTGAACGGTTAAGTTATTCTTTCTGACCGAACAGTTTTTGATGCATTTTTGAAAAATCTGAACCGCTGCAAAAGGATCAAGCACACGTTCTCGTGATGAACAGGAGAGCGTTACACGGAGCACTTCCACCACTTTGCGTGAAAGTTACAAAACATCCCATTTTCGTGTGATGGCAAATATCACTTTTAGAGATCTTTAACGCCAAATTTGAGTCACAAATCAAATATTTCTTCCTAACCATCAATATGATGAAATGTACAAGAGTTATTACTATTATTTTAACGAGAAAGGATATGGAGAAAAGTTATTTTCTCTCATCCAGAAAAGGTGGCAGAACCGAGTTTTTTTTTTTTTTTTACAACTGGAACACGATCCCAACTATAATAGCATATTAAAACCATCAATTCCCAACAGAAAAATCAATCCGGCATTGTCTCCCGGCACAGCACCCAGGTGCCCCTGCGCCTCAGCCACAGGTGGACTGGGAGCAGCAAGGACACTCGGCCACCCTCAGGTCCCGGTACCCGGAGACAGAGCCACGCGGGCGCGCTCGAGGTCCCGGGCCTCTTTGTCAATAGCCTGGCGCGGCGCCTCAACCCTACAGGTTACGCGACTGGTCGAGGCCATCCTGCTCCCTCGTTCCTCCTCCATCTCGGCGTCCAGGGTCCAGGCGCAGGCCACATGGCCCCGGGTCGCCCAGTCCCGCAGGGCGGTCCACACCACGCCGCCGGACGCCACGCATCGAGGGGGTGGGCTTCTCCCGGGGCCGCAGGCTGCGAAGGCCGCCCCCATCTCTGCCTCCCGCGCTCACCGCTTTGAGATCCAGGACGCCGTCCTTGGCCTCCTGCAGCAGCGACACGAACTTGGTGGTGAGCAGCCCCAGGCTCTTCTCGTGCCTGCTACTGCCGCCTCCGCCGCCACCGACCTGCTGCTGCGGCGGCTGTTGCGGGGGCTGCGGCTGGGGAGGCTGCGGCTGCGGCCGCTGGCCCTGCCCCTGCCCTTGCGG